TATCCACTAGTCTGGTTCTTAGATCTGCAATACGTGGTGACTGGAGGCCACAAATGAAAACCATGCATTGAGACGGATCCAAACTTGAAGCGATTACACTCACAAGTGATGACGCCAGTATACTGGCTAATGCTATCGGCGTCACTTTCGACTATTGGTAGCTATTGGAATCAATTTTTGAACAAAGATGATTTATCCAAGAAAATTGACATCAACATCTATACCATCTCTTTGACGGCGCGTGATCGTTTAACGGCTGTGAGGATGAATTTCAAATAATGGACATGTTCCACTGTACCCACTCCATGGAGAAGTAAACGGACTTTCGTCAGGTCATCTCAGTTGGCCGATTCCATCGAGAAGATATCTTCGTGCCGCTTGTACCAGCACTCCAACGTCACACCGGCTTACAGGTTCTGCTGGAAACTAGCGATGCTTTTGGCGATGGTAGATATCAGGGGAAGTAGGTGACTCCAAAGTGGCAAACTTCGAGACCAGCATTTTCATTATCTTTAGCTAGGCCTGCATCCTCTGCTGCAAGTCAGCACGGTAGACATGGCCTGACAGAGAAAACCAAGACCTCCATCGCCAGATATGATAGCATCGGATTCGCCTCAAGTAATCGCTTGGGTCTCACGCTTCCTACTTGCTTCAATGCCTCAAGGAAAAAAAGGCTTTACGTAATAACTGTACTTGTGGTCAGACCGATGGATGACAGCCACTCAGCGGGAAGCATTACTGTTTAAAACGTTTGCAAACTACAGCGGCTAAGAAGGACAACTTCATAATCAACCGGAAATGAAAATAAACTAGTCTTTCCGCGGTGAAGAAAATGGCACCAGTATGTGCGTAAGTACGCGTCAGTGCAAAATCATTAATGGAGTACTCAGTGTTTTAATTCCGGCAATCTTCAAAAATTACTCATCTTAGAGAAGCTGACTTCTTTTATATCTGGGTACCTTGAAGACTGCAAAACAAGCTGGACCCAAAACTTTGAAAGCGACAGAAATGAAATTTCTCGGTAGTTGGTGTATTCGCTGAGGGAGCTTTTCTTGGCAATCGGGATCACGGCAGATTCGCTCCATGAACTGGGGACCTTCTCATCATCAGTTGATTGGTTCCCGCAGCTTGATAAAATGGTCGCAGACGTTTCGCCACTATGCTAGGTGGTGTCATCAGTGCAGCAATGTGCAGCCTTGCTGTTTGAATTGTCTATCGGCGATCGACGGGCCGGTGAGTTTTGCGCCTCGTGATCTTTGTCCATGTTCACCCGCGGTTGAAGTGGTCATTTGAGTCGTTCGTCGCCTACCTCGTTTCAAATTTTGCCTTTCGATTCGCCTGACATCTTTTTTCTGTATTCTTAGTACATGGGGTCGAAATCATGGCACATATTGATCGGATTATTAGTGGATAACCACGCTTTTTGGTTCTGCTTAAACCAGCATCTCCGTTTTGTGCCAGACGAAGCTAGGTCCCTCCTCAACCACCTGCGCATCGACGCGTTGACTAGTATTATTTACAGTCCGGAATACTGCTGCGCCACCGGTGGCTTATGACGATGTGATCCGTCTTCGACCAACACTGGGATAATGGTGTGGCACACCAGGTTGCGTAGTGAAACTAAGGTTGGCAAAGTTGGTTCTTGTAAAGTAAAGTTAGTGGTCGGCACGCAGTCTGAGCAGTCCTACTCTGTTATCCGGGCGAACTTCATAGTTTACATGTAGACCTTCTGGATGACACTCGCTAGGTAGCAAATGACCACGTAACTTGAGATCTCCCTTCAAAACAATTATGTGTATTTTGAAGACCTTTAGCAACAGATGACTATGGTTCTGGTAGAATTGACTGTGTCTTGCCCACTGTCAGTGGGATATATGCCAAGAGTACAAAAGGAAAACTGTTGTCTTCTTGACACCTGCTAACCATGGGGCTTCAAGGCACAGCGACAACTATTGATAGGAATCCATTCTAGAAAGGTGGCTTCGGCTCTGCTAGTAAGGGCTATCCCAACGCTAGCTTGTTTAGGTTCAGTGTTTTCACAAAGACGTAGATGGAAACGAGTGTAAAAGTGAATCAGGGACGACAATCGGTACTGGGATCCTGAAGTCGTGTTTCGGACAAGCATTTGACATCTAAGTTAGAGTTTCAGGGTGTGTACAAGACCTGCTTGCTGTCCAATCTGCTCTATGGTGCACACATTGCATGTTGCTAAGTTGCAGTGTTTTGTTTTACATTAACGAAGATGGGACAGTTTAAGACTTGCTAATCCAGGTTAAGTGTTGGGCACTTGAGTCAGAGGGTGGTAAGGCAACACTTTCATCAGAATGCGCAGTGCTGTTCACCGCTGAGGGCTAAACGACACAGAAGGTGGGCAGACAAGTAGGGGCACTTGACTTGAAACATAACCTAACTAGTAGCAGGAGAGCGAGCCATCATTGGAGCTATGGAGCGTAACTCAGTTCAGTTACGTGGTTCATCATTAGGTGAGATATTACCCGGTTGTCTAGGCCGAAGTAGGTTGTCATAAGGTACCACCACCACAAGCCTGACCATCAGGGCGTCAGAGCGAGATGAGTAGCTCGCACCTGTTGGGAGCCGGTGACTGAAAATCAGCACCTATTCCTTTCGGATGACTATAAGCCATACAGGGGTGCTCAACACTCCCAGTGACTTTATTTAGAGGCCAGTTATATCCGTTCCTTCACGGTGTTTTCATGCAACTTACGTTGCTTTTAATGGGTGAGAACCCACCATGCCAGTATACGACTTATCCGCAATTACTTTCACAAGGAAAACGTCACCCGATCCGCAATCTGGCGACGAGCCCCGTAGCATACAGCTCGGCTAAAACCGAAGAACTACTTTTGTGGTGCTCACACGCCTAGGCACTCCTCATACGTTCGTTTTTATGCTTGGGGAAGATCATCTCAATGGTTTATGTCCACTCTATTCACCTGACTTGCTAAACCGGTTGGATAGATTGATGTACAGACAATCGATCAGAACTGCTTGTATGTTTTCATCATTTTACTGGTCCTACACTTCCTGTCTAGTGCCATTCGGAAATATTCCATTAACCGCATATGATTACGCGGTAGCCTGTGTTTTTTATTCTTGAAGGCCAGGAAAATCATAATCGCAGGGCTGCATTGGCTTTTGACTATTTATCCACTAACCGTGCACGAGTACATTACGCCATGGGAAGCTCATTGGTTCCCACCTAGATGCGCGTCTACGCATTCCCATGCAGCAGTTATTGGATCAGGAAGTTGTGGGGCATGGGAGCGTGCTGAATGACTAAACTAACTGTGGAAACAAACATCTTAACATTTACTGACTTCGCTTTATTCACCGAGACAACCTATTGCCCGTAGTCTAAAGGTAACGAGCTTGTCTTGTACTCTTACGGTGGCCTCGATCCTGCATATGAGCAGTGCGACCCTCGCAGTATCCTTAGCCCAAGTGTGAACGGCGGTGGTTGCGCGGCATGGAAACCTCGATACTGCGTACGGGCGTACTGTTGGTGTTTTACATTGTGACACCTTTGTGTAGATTCGGCATCTAGCCGTTGCCACATGTAATTCATGCTTCTTAAGTTCCTGCTTGTAAATCACCTCGGACTTACTGATCTGGTTCGCGTCTTTCCTGCCGGTAAGGCCGATGAACTTTTTTCAAACAGCAGACGGCGTGGTGCATGTAATGCATGTTCCAAGTTCGCGTTACCGTGTCCATTACTTTGAGCTGTCTTTTGTTTACTTCAATGAGATTGCTTCGCCAGTTCGGTACTCACACCGTGTTCCCACAGCACAATCCGAACCGCAGACCCATCGTGACTGAATTCGCTTGACCTCTGCATGTTAATTTGTGGCTAAAATTTCCGCAACCACTCAGCGACATCGTACACACAGTGCTGACCGGATTCAACCGGTCTATCTGCATCGGATCTGTAACAGCTTAGGGGTGACACTCTGATATTTCTAATCCCGTTTTATGACATTGTCAGACGTCGCTACTGCAAGCGATAATGCGATCTCGGCATGTGTTCCTCTGAACTGCTCGGTTTTGCGTTGGATCCCCAATTAGATTGCTTTGTGTGTGATAGGTTGGCGAAAAGGCTGATTGCCAACGCGCGCGTGTTCGCCACAAAGCCTGCTTGGGACAGACCCCACGAGCGTGTTGCCACGGCCCAACCGAAAGCTGATGAAATCGCACATCAGACATCATGCGTGTTGCTAAGGCCTGACTGGGAGCTGGTGAAATCGCGCGTCAGACATTAGGTACATTGCCATGCCCCGGGTAGGCGGATGAAGACTGGCGTGCCCGAGCAAGACGGTGAACTGGCCAGACGGAGCGCATAGTCAAGTGTAGAGCGTGAAGGTATGAGGAAGACAGGTAGCCAAATCCGCCAGGCGGTGTTTAGAGGATTGTTGCGACTGACCTATAAATATGAGCCTTCTCAGTTCTAATACAACTCTGGTCGGCTGAGTCTTCTGTTTTCCTTCCTGTCGGGTTGGCCAAGGCATCAAGCAGAGCAGGCGTAAGGGCGCAGATTTACCAACAGGCGTGAACCAACCGGTCGATTGCGGGTACAGCGTTATAATAGTGTGTGACATTTCACATAATTAGGACTGTCGTTGTTTTCTGATTACACGCAATTTTACGCCACGTACGTCTGTCACCACTTCAAATTCTTTTATGATATTACATCAGGCTCGCTGCCCTGCCATAGGTTGTCTACAATGAGAGGTTGGTTCCGGCCCGACTTTTGGCGATACTGTACATGGTTATTGCTCCCGTCGTGACATTTGCAGTTATTTTACTCCGAATACTGGACCGTTTGACAGAAATTTTTAAGCGCATAGCTGTCTTGATTATTTTTGTCATCATAATGTGGCTACCTCAGAACTCACGAATATCACACTTTATGTGTTATCCCGCCTGTTCCATCATTCTTATTCTTGCACTTTTTGCTTCGTTCTATTACATCTACTTCTTCCCAGTAAACTGGCGCGCTTACAACCACCGTGCCATAGGGACACTCGCTTGTCCAGATCCCGATCCGTCCTTCAACTGGAGCGCGAAAAACCTCGCTTCGATAGCGTACGTCACCGGCTACGCGATTGGATCCATGCGGTCTGTCCATTGCATCCAACGACGAACTGTCTGCATCTTATGTCGTCTTTCATTAGTCGACCTGTGCGCGTCACAGTTGTGCAAGCAACGATTTGGCCTTCATCCACTGCTTTTGTGGCTCTGCATGATGATCGTGGTGGCCTCTCCTCATTCCATTACTACTACTACATCCGCATTTTATTCCGCTCTTCGAAGACCCTTTCAGTACCGGTCTCCTTGTGCAGTGGCGTACACCGGATGACTGTGCTCAGGGGACCAAGGCCAACTGGATTAATCCGGTTCGAAGAGGTGTTTCTCTTTCCACCTCATTCGCTCAAGGAAGAAATCACTAGTCTGGAAGCAGCGGTACGTCGTGTTCCGCTTCACTTAGTTTCTGCTGCTGAAACCTTTGGGAGCGTCAATCAGTTTCTTTTGCTTCTCTGTATAAATAACTATATACACAAATTAATAAGCATACAGTCATTGTAATATCTTTCCTGTAGGTCGTCTAACTTTGACTAGTCGGTACTCCAACACCACACTAATGGCGTTGATAGATTGGACTCCATCGGCACCCGACGTTTTTTCCCCGGATTCAGTAGTCGTGAATCTGGACAAGGGTGTTTTGATGTGGTCAAGCCATTGACTATGATCCAGTGCCATTTTCTCCCAACAAATACAGTCAACATCATTTCGTTATAATCTCACCTTGATCATGTACAGGTAACGTAACTGGTTGTTCGGAAAGTAATTTTGTTTTCTCGATGAAAATGAAAAGCAGTTTTCTTATAGTGAATGAATATACCTATATACATATTGTCCATTCTGATCCAATGCCTTTTGCCATCTTTCTGGCAGTAACATGATTCCACGCTCATAGACTTGTTTTTCTTTGCTGGCAAAAAACTCATGCAGGTGATTTTTGACCTCCTCATTTGAGGTAAAGGTTTTACTGTGTAAAATATTTTGTAGAGGCGGGAACAAATAATAATCAGAAGGCGCCAGGTCTGGAGCATACATGGTGTATGGTAGTACATCCCATCCAAACTGTAAATGCTTTTGGCGAGTTCGCAAACTTATGTGAGGTCTCGCATTATCTTGATGGAACACTACACCTTTTCTATTGATCATTTCTGTTTGAACCGAATTTCTCCAGCTGATAACACTACACTTCAGAATTGATCGTTGTGTTGTCCGGTAGAAGCACAAAAAACGTTTCCTTTAAAATCCCTCTAAAGAGGTAGCATCATCTTTATTATTGAACATCGGTTGGCGGCATCCGGTTTCAGATTTGCCTGTCACTGTGGCCAGCCACAGGACGCCTGCGCCTACCGAGGGACCATGGGTAGCTTCCGCTGCACCACTCACGGCACTAACCACACCCCCCATATCCAATGTGAACCCGAAGGAATAAGACCGGGAGACATGTGGATGGGAGCCGGCTCACACTCCTTCACACTCAAACACCAGCACGCTGTAGTTGGGATCCAGTCGCACACAAGTCGGTGGCTGGACCGTAGTCCACTCCACAATGATTACATGGGACCACTCTTGGAGGCTATCACGTCCACAAGGACCGTGCACCCCGTCCCCTCTAGCAACGACCAACTGTCGCCTAGAGTCAATATGGATGAGGAGGTAGTGGGTACTAGACAGGTAGGCACTTTGTCAACATGCACATCAAGCGCAGCCACACCGGGGATGTCAAACAACAGCCAATCACTTGAAATGACATTATCAAATAAAATATATCTGTTAAAGAATACGGCTATACAGACATAACTCTTCCCTGTATTAGCATATGAAGTAAGTTGGTTAGTAACGAATCCGCGATAAGTAAAAAATGTCCAGCAGCTACTCAAAAAATGCTACAAACGCAATAACATTAACAAAGATAAACGCAATTAGCCTAAGCAACGTGGCCATTTAATAGAAGATTATTCATGTAGGCAGGACAGACCACACAAAGTAGAATGAAATTTATCCAGCTTAAGCGATATATGCATATGTATATTTTCCTGTCTGTTAACGGTTTGTGCCATCCTTCAACACATCTCCATACATGCCCAATAATCTTTTTCATGCTTGAACAGCATTTTTACCTTTTCGATAGTAAAAGAGTAAAATATGCCGAAAGTGATGCTTTTCTCTCTTCATATTTGAAAATGCGCCGAAAAAGTACTGCGTGGAACCAATCGAACATTTTTTACATGCAAGCCTTACTATGTCGGCTGTCAAAATGTATAAAAAATGTGATTTAAGTGTGAAGTTGGCTATGAAAAACTACAATCTGTTTATGTTTGAAAGAAACGAAATTATTTTCCGAACAACCAGATAGCTTCGATTTGTATAGCTTCCGATTCCCTTGGCGGAGTTGACCATACAGGGTAGGTAGAGATTCATCACATCTGAACAGCAATAACCAAGTCGGGTGTATGGTGAACTGCGCTATCTCACATCTAGCAAATTAGTCACAATGGTCGATGCCGTCCCCCGTTGCTCAGTGGTTTCAACCACAGACTTACAACAGTCTAGTTGCGGGTTCTTCCTCCACATTATTCATATGTAATACGCACTGCTGGCGATTCCCGAAACAATGAGACCGCCGTACAGTGCTTTTTCTGGCATGTGATGGCTGTCTGACTGAGTTTAGATGTGATGAATCTCTACCTATGACATTTGACTGTCGTTTGTTTATTCCTCAATTTTTGGAGCATCGTCTGACAGTGTCTCTAGACTGTGTTTGCCTTGAAATCTTATGTGGCACGGAATTCACCGGTTGTTGACTCTCACTGATTTCTCTGTTTTCTCTTCTTCCACTCTCCTTCGTAGCTCTTCATTTACAATCCTGCATTTGATGAGCTCCATAGCCACTGTACTGTTGCGGTCGATACGCATCTCAAAAGTGGCTCCATGAAGCATATTCTCTTATCGCCACATCTTGGTCGCAGTGCGGTATTCGCTTGGAAGCGTTCGAACCATCATCCGTCATCCATGCGGGTTTTCACCCGAATCCTCGAACCGAAGAATCCACTTCATCGGGATAAAAATCACTCATTTCGGGCTGCTTTTCGACTTAGTGAGGATCTTCTGTCCATTGAGGATGCAACACAAATGAGGTTGGGCACAGACTCGCCTTTTGGACTTTCGAATGGAAAAATCACTCCCAGTGAATCGCATAATACTTCTACTGCGTACAAAAGCAGTTGTGGTGTTTTGACACTTTTCTTTGAGTAGTGATAACCCGCGCTTAAACTATCCCTACCCTTTCTCTGTGCGTCTTTGTTTTGTAGTGCTTGCATATGCAAGTAACCGGCTGAGCAGTATATATCTTTTGATGCGTGAATTCACTTTCTGTCTGATGCAACAGTGATTGGTTTTGCCGCCTTGTTTCCAATATTGTGGACATTAGAGCTTACAACCATTCGGTTTGTGAGGTGCACTGCAGTCGTTTCGTTTTTTCTACTTGTATGCAACTTGCACTCCACTCCATCGTGTGGGTTCCGAAATACCAGCTCGAGGTTTACCAGTACGCCGCGCTGCACTAAGGTGCTTGTCGGTTGTTTCAGTCATATCTTCCGTAATCAGATCTATGCTCATTGACTTCGACAGATCACGATACAATGTGGCTTCACATAGGAAAATTCATCGAACATACCACAATGAATCCGATGGCACAATTTCTGTGTCACACATCGTGCTTCATGCTGAGACTGCTGTTGCATTCATGATGCTTCTTCACCGCAGTTGGGCTTAACCAACTTACACTTAAACCAGGTCTTTTTAAGCTGGATAAATTTCATTCTACTTTATGTGGCTTGTTTTCCCCAACTCAGTAACCATCTATTAACTGGACACGCTGCTTACGCTAACTGCGCTTATCTTTGCTAACTTTTGTATCATTTTGTATCATTTGTATCGTTTGTATCATTTTTAAGCAACTGCTGGACATTTGGTAATTATCACGAATATGTTGCTAACCAACGTACTTTATTTGCTAATGTAGGGAAGAGTTATGTCTGCATAGCCGTATTCTTTAACAGATATATTTTATTTGATAATGTCATTTCAAGTGATTGACT